CCGTGCCACTAAGTGTCTCGTCAGACCCTTCCCCGGACGCGTTAAGTTCTCCAATCAGGCCTTCCCCACCCACTAAGTTTTGGTTTCCGGTTGTAGGCCCCCCCCCCGAATTCTGCCTTCCCACCCCCACCCCGCCCCCCCCCACCCCCACCCCCCCGAGAGCGCGCCAACGGGATTTTTCCCTTCGCGTTTTCGAGCCAATCCCGTCCGTATCTGTAAAGTGGCTGAGACACACATGGAGCACTCGAACTTTCCCTTAGCGTCCAAGCAAATACTAGCTGGCCGCATGTTACAGCTGGGAGGACACATAGGATTAGCGTGCCTGAATTTGGCTAAGTTGATTGGCCGCATGTGTAGTGTCAGGTGTCTTTGACTTCTAATTTAAGTAGATAACTGCACTTGTCATAGTGTGAAGAAGTGTAAGGGCAAACTTCGGACATGCCCTGATTTCAAGTTCTGACTTTGGGGTATGCCCGTGACCCTTAAGGGCGCCAAATCAATCACCTACCCCCAACCAAGGGTCAGATTGGGAGGAGCTGGGGAGCGCAAGTTCGAGCCCCAGGGACTTCGACAGGCCTGGTGTGGAGGCAACAATTTTTTCGCGACGCGACGCAGGTTTTGTCAGAAACTTTGTCTGCACAGGATCCATTCCCAGACCCGTTCCGCCGAGAAAACGTTTTGTATGTCGAGACTGGGAAAAGGCGGCATCATTTCTTGTCCGTCTTATCACTGAAGAGCGAGTGAGCACCTCGCATCGCATCTCTGCTGCGTCAGCCCAACTCGACAGAGCCTGAAAGTAATCCAACATTGACTCTTCTCGATGTCGAAATCCCTTCCTCATCCTGGAGTCCCAGAGCTTTTTTTTCGCCAGGCTTCCGTGTTCAATATTTCTCTCTCCGCGACATCTAACAAAGCGCGACATCTTACACACACACTGGACAACCAAATACGTGAATGGCGTTTCCCGGGTCGACTGTGCAGTTGCTCGCTGTTCTGCATCTCGTTCTCGCGTTTACCTCGCTGACCACATCCCAGCGCATCAAGGTAAATAATCACGAATCTTTGAAGCGCCTGGACCATTCCGTAAGCACCGGAGCAGGAAACTGCAAAACATACTCTGCAACCACGCTCCAGTCTGAACATCACCTACCTCCTTTCCTACCTCTGCATCTCCCCCTTTTCCCACGCCCACCCTCCGTCCCTTCCTCACTCCCCTTCTTCCTTCTTCCCCCTTTCCGCCCTCTATCTCCTTCCTCCCTCACACTCTCACCCACGCGTTGTCGTTGAATGCTTCCTCGTTGTTATATGCTTCGATTTCCGTGTTGTTCCGCGGTTCGTGTTGTTCTCCTTCATGCCCACATTCACCTGCCGCCGATGGCAGGAGCGTCAGTTGCGACAACGGACTCGCATGCCGCGCTATTCGTTTTTTTTTAGAGTTCTCAGCTGAATCTGTTTCTTGTCTCTGTTCTCGAAAAACAGACTCGCATGCCGCGCTCTTTGGACTTCAATTTCTCCGAAGCGCACGGGTTATGCGGGACTTGGGCTAGTGACTACGCCGCATTGCACAGCCGAATACGCGCACGCGCCTTAAAAGCGTACCTGACACAGCAACACGCGGAGAAATCAAGGGGGAACGAAGATCTAGAGTCTTTTGGGACACCTCTTTTAAAGCGGTATGGGATAGAGCAGCAGCCTGCTGAGCTGATGACGGATGGACGGCTGGATCCACCTGTTCGCTTCCTCACATTCGAGTGGTTGGACGGCTGTGGCGGCTTCGCGGACGTTCTCGCAGGGCTGGTAACCGCATTAGTCGTGGCTATACTCGACAATCGCGCGCTTATAGTCCGAAACCACTGCCTTCCCAAAGCTTTCGAACCCAGCATAATCAACTGGGAGCCCGACCCGTTCGTGCCGTTGGAACCTGCGCGGAACCTCACGTTGGTGGATTATGGCTGGGGAAGGACGATCCCCGAGCGCGCGCGCGACGGGGAGGTGGTGCTGGTGTGGCTGCGGGATAAGTTCGTGCGGATCGAGCCGTTTTTTAAGGAGCTGGAAGGCGCGGTGAACGTTCGCATGACGAGCAACCGCGGCGTGCTGACGTGGCTGCAGACGAGGGCGAAGGGGGAGTGGGCGGAGAGGTTTAAGGCGATGGGTATGCGGCTGCCATACGCGCTCGGATGCTCGTTGCGGTTCCTCATGCGGTAAGGAAGGGGGAAAGGAAAGGAAGCGAGAGGTTTTGAGTCGACTCGAAAACAGGCGCATCACGTTCGGATGCTCTCTGCGGTTCCTCATGCGGTAAAGGGGAGGAAGGAAAGCAAGGGGGGAGCGAGAGAGGAGAGAGAGGAGAGAGAGTCTACTTTTGAGACGCCTCAAGAGTATGCTCGATCCGGTTCCTCATGCGGTAAAGGGGTGGAAGGAAAGGAAGGGGGAAGAGCGAGAGGAGAGTGGTGTTTGAAAGGAATTATTGGAGTCCGTTCCCTTCTCGGACAATTCTTCCACTTTCCATTCCCTCCTCTCCTACCTGTCTACCGTCTCTTTTTTGCATTCTGTTCTCACTCTCCCCCTCGCCGCGTTCGCCCTTCACCCTCCCCTCTTCCCCCTCCACCCTCCTCTCTCCCCGCTCTCTCTCCTCCCCTGCAAACCCTCCTGCAGTCCCAAGCCAGAGGTGCAAGCGCTGTTCCACAGCATAGAGCGGCGCCTGCGGAGGAGGTCGTCGGCGGGGAAGGCAGGGGCGACTTGTGAGTCGACTCAAAATTCCCCTCCACCCTCCTCTCTCCCCGCTCCCTCTCCTCCCCTGCAAACCAACATCCAGTCCCAAGCCAGAGGTGCAAGCGTTGTTCCACAGCATAGAGCGGCGCCTGCGGAGGAGGTCGTGGGCGGGGAAGGCAGGCGCGGGGAGGCCCCGGGTGGCAACAGTGGGGATCCACATCCGCGTGCGCGACCGGGTGGTGTGGGCGGGCGACAGGGGGGAGCCCAAGGAGCTGAGTGCGAAGCAGGTGGACGTGCTCATTGCTGGCGCCCGGAAATGGATTATGTGCGCGCAGGTGAGTGGACAGGAGGGGGGATGGGGAGGTTGGGAGTCGGAACTTCCCCATTTTGGGAGGTTGGGTGCGCGCAAGTCACCACGTTATTCCCTGGGCAGGGAAGGGTTTCGGGTATCTCACCACGTTATTCCCTGGACCTCTCATTTTCCAACCCCAAGCGTGCGCAAGCACATAGGATTTTGTCCTCCTGACTACCCTCGCCATCCCTCATTTCTCCCCGCGTCCACTTAACAACCTTCCTAGACACTTGCTCGCCCTGTTTCCCCGTGGCACCAGCGTCGTGTCACTTTTGAGAATTCTCATAACTTTCCTAGACACTTGCTGCTCGCCCTGTTTCCCCGTGCCACTTGCTCGCCCTGTTTCCCCGTGCCACTTGCTCGCCCTGTTTCCCCGTGCCTCCAGCGTGTGGAATCGTACTGGTTCCCGTCGTCCGTTGCGGTGCGATGGATGCTCATCACCAACTCAGCGCAGCTCAAGGCTGCCCTCAAGTCTAGATTTCCCTACAAGGTGTGTGAGAGGGGTGTGTGTGTGTGTGTGTGGGTGTGTATGTGTGTGTGTATTACTCTGTGGGAAGGAAGGTGCAGTGGAGGGAGGAGAGAGGGACCAGGGGGAAAAGGGAGGTGGGAGAGCCAGCTCTCGGCGGCCGTTTTCAAGGCTCTCTTTTGAGAATGACCCTCGTGGTTTTTGTTGTACCACGCTGCCCTGAAAACCTGCTATTTCTTCTTCTTTCGCACCTCCTTTCTTCCTTGCTCTCTTCTTCCGCTGACCCTGCCAGGTTATCACTACCGACTTCATACCTCGGCATGCGAATAGTCTGAGCTCCAGCTCTGTTGGCAGCATTGGCAATGGCTCTTCCACTCTAAGCCCAGGGGAGGTTGCCGGGCAAGTGGAGGGAGTGGAGGGAGATACAAAACGCGAGAAGGAGCGTTTGTTCCAAGAGCTGGTAACAGAGTGGCTGCTGTTGGCCTCGTGCGATGCGTACGTTATTTCCGTGTCTGGTTACTCAAGCACAGCTGTGTATTATGCTCATAGACCCATGGCGGCTTTTGAGTCAGAAAATTGTGACCCTGAGATGCCGTTGCGCGCAAGGTTTCATCTTGAAGGTAAAGCTCGAGGTAGGATTTAGAAGCTGTCATCTTGCCATGATTAGTTTGTTAAGGTGGGTTTGTTGTCATTTCTCCTTCATTTAGTATACGCTAGCTTGAAAAACAGTTTTGTCATACGTGTAATCCAGGCCCACTCTTTTTGAGGCATGCTGATCATTCAGTGCCCCTCAAAGGTCAAACACTGATTTCCAGTTCATCATAACGAATCAGACACACCACTTTACACAGGTAATAACTTCATACATGTCCTAAGTAGCTCGCAGGGAGTTTTGCATCATTCTGTCACCCCCCCCCCAGCACCTACAACCCCTCAATATAGGCCCTCTATTACCAGTATTTCGGTTACCCGTATGGGGCCCTCCTCTTTACGCATATGTCGTCCATGGTACGGTAAACTTTCCAATGGCAACGCGATCTCCAAGAACATTTTCATGAATCAAAGAAAAAACTCAGGACAGAATCCCGGTTAGATGCCACCAACTCCAATCCAAGACATGACAGTTGCAGAGATTCAAGCCACAGACTGATGATGAGGATTGATGCTGACACTTGTATCTACACCGCTTCCCTCACAGCCCAACACTGTGAAATGCCTGCAGAGAGGAAAACACAAGGCAGAATGAGACGGTCCGTCCTGGAGGACTTGAGACAAACCGCAGGTGCGGAGAGGGAAAAGATTGCCGATGGCACGAATCACATGCACATGACACCACTGATGTTGCCAGGACACCACTGTGATAATCGAAACAGGAAATAATGCATTTCGGAGTGGTAAGATTGGGGACGGGTTCATACAAAAGGGATACTGGCGAAAATGGTACATAAAGCCCTTACTGGGAAGAGTGCCAAATCAGATGCTCACCTCCCACAGAGCTCGGATTTCCCCCTCAACCCTCTCGGTAACTTCCTGGAAGCTCTCCAGCCGAACACTCAACCCTTCCACCCTCTGCTGGTCCTCCAATGCGCTGGCTGCGCTGGCTGCACTGGCTGCACTGGCTGCGCTGGCTGCACTGGCTGCACTGGCGCGTGCCTCCATCCTCCCCTCATCCAGCCGATGGTTGATCTGACTCAACCTCCCTACCACCTCTGCCTTTCCCGCGTCCACCTCCTCTTTCAATCCCCTCATCCTCCCTGCCTCCTCCGCCCTTCCCTCTTCCATCTCACGCCTCCACTCATCCAACTTGCCACAAACCCTCCTCTCACTCTGCGCCACCAGCACAGCCAATTCTGCCTTCATCTCAGCCCTCAGCTCGTCCAGGCACTTCCTTGCATCACCACTGCAACTCTTCAGACCCTCGACCTCCCTTCTCAGGCCACTGATGTCTCTCGCCCTCTCCTCCTCCACTTTCGCCCTTCCTGCCACCTCATTCCTCAGCCTCTCCACGTCACCCTTCATCCTCTCCCCGTCACCTTTCATCATCTCCACCTCATTCCCAACATCAGCCACATCAGCCTCGATATCATCCGAATGTCCTCCCGTGTCAACCCTTCTTTCCCTACTCTCCATCATATCCCCATCATCTTCCTCGCCTAACCGAACCACCCCACTAGACATCCCTGCCTCATCATCCCCTGCACCAACGCCACCTGTGCTTCCCATTCTTTCAGACCCCTCCTCATGCTCCCCTCTGTTCTCTCTCAAAACCCTTTCCAGAAACTGAATCCATGTCGCCAATTCCTGCTCATCCCAAGGCTCACACTCCTCACCTGCTGCTGCTTCCTCCTCTTCCACCTCCTCCAACTCCCCCAAATCCACCATCTCCCTCCTCGCTTTCAAAACTCTGATCGTCCTCATCTGCATTTTGCATTCCTCCAACATCTCTTCAAGCATACGTCCCCCAGACTCAGACAACCCTTGCGGCGGACGCCCCTCTTCCTCCCATGCCTCTGCCTGCACCCGCCTCTCCCCCATGCTGGAATCATCCACCCCATCCAGCCCAGTGTTTAAGTCTCTCCCCTGCTTTAGCTCACTCTGCGATACCTGATTACCCGCCTCCACCTGCCGCTTTACCGTCTGCAGCAGCTGCATCATGCTGTTCATCTTCGAGTTCATCTCAGCCGTCAGATTGTCGATCTGACAGGCCAATCCAAGAAGCTCTGCATTTTCTGTTGTTGAGTCTCCCATGCCAGGTTTAGCAGCAAACACATACCTGCCAGGGAGAGAATATTCAAGTATCAAACTCTGAGAAGCTGAAACGAAGACATCAACAGATTTGTGATGGCAGAAGCAAGACGCAAGAGAATCCAATGATGGACCCTGGAAAACTGGCAGGTAACACTACACCTTAGCAGTAGTAATTAGTATGTGGCAAGAAAGATTTATTGCCAATTACTACTTGCCATTACTATTCACAAATGACGTAAGGGAGATGCGACTAAGTACCTGGTAGCTTGGCAAAAGGAGGTTCCTCGAGTGGCCTGCAAAATGGCATGAGCTGGTTTTACTATTACATTTCCAAAAAGACGCAACAAACATTTCGCGAGAAAAGTGTAGATTTCGTTTCACCATGAAATCAAGGGCGTCTTTCGTCAGCTCTATCAAGATTGTCCTGGTTGCCAGTAGATGCTGATGCAGACATGACATTATGTGTGCCTGGAACACGCATAATAAGAACCAGAGGATAAGAACCGGCCAAGGTGCCCCATGCTAGATACATGTGATGTGGAAAAGCCGGTTTGTTAGGGGGAAAGGGGCGAGAGAGGAGCGGTGCGTAAGTGGGAAGAGAGGGACCAGAAGGAAAGGGTCAATGCAGCCTTACCATAAAGTCAAGGGCGTGTTTCTTCAGCTCGAGGAGGGTGGTTCTAGCTCTCAGTAGCTGCTGGTGCAGGCAATGCATGATGAGTGACTGGGACACGCCCAGTGACCAGAGGATAAGAACGACTGTGCTGCATGCTAGATACACGTGGATGAGCTGACCGGTTATGGGGGTGGGAGGGGGGGGGGGGGGGGTGTGGGGGAGGTATCAAAGGAGGTGAAGAGTGTAGGAAAAGGCAGAGGTGAGGAATGGAGGGATAGACGGAAGAGGGACCAGAGGACAAGAACAAGAGTGATTCATGCGAGATACATGTGAATGAGCTGAAGAGGTTAAAAGCGAGGAATAGGAGGGGTTGTACAGGGAGGTGGATGGATGAGCTAGAAAAGGAAAGGGGTATGGAAAGTAGGGAAGCAAACCAAAAACAAAAACAGCCCAGTGAGCTCACGAGGAATTTGTGCAGTAGGAACAGGCACTGAATTATGCCATTTGATGCCTTAATCTCACATGAATCAATTACATGAGTGAACTCTCACCACGATATAAGTGTTGACGGCTGATGGCAGGAGCTCTCTAAGAGCCGCAGGCAGATGCATGAGATACGATGAGATGCTGGACCACAGATTGGACCGCGCAGCTGCCTTCCCCTTATCTGTAGCAGCTGCTTCATGTCCTGAACCTGTGGTAGTCTGGATGAAGCGCCATCAAGAAAAAAAAGTAGAACAGAAGAAAAAGAAAAAGGAGTGCACAGGAATTCCAGAAATCTAATAAGGGTGAAGTGACGAGGGAGTTCACGCATCTAGTTCTCACAAACGTCAGACAGCAAATGAGTGCACACAGAGAGACTAGAGAGAGGGGTCTGATTGAGCCAACGAACCCCGGACCCTTAACAGCAACTGCTGTGCTGCTCGGATCAGGCGTCTTGCCGTCACCAAGTGCTAGTTACACGCACTTCAGTCACTGTAGTCGACCCTGTACAGTAGCGGATTTTTAAGTCGATTCATGATCCAATATGGAAGCATTCAATTTCTAAACGCACTTGATAGTCACTGTAGTCGTCGCTGTACCGACCATACGCGGAAACCGCCGTGGCAGCTGCAAGCAGCACAAACGCCGTCATCAGCAGCCTGGCCAGCAGCGCCACCCTCGTCACCCTCTTCAGCCACGCCACCCTCGCCGCCATCGCTACGACTGAGACGAGAAAGATACGAGGAGAATTTGCAGCGCCTCGGCAGATATTTGGTAAGCGCAGATTCGGGAGAAACAGTGCAAAACTGAAAGTCGACAGGAACGGTTTCCTCAGGCCGTTGTCGTTCCGATTGTTGTGCTCTGGAGGTGTAAACGCCTGGCTGCGGCTGTTCATCCTGCGCACTATCGAGCAGACTGGCAAGCCTGAATTTACACCTCTGGAAAGATGCTGCTGTTATCGCGCAAAACGATCTGTGCGCGCAAAGCGCACATTTTCGCGCCAACGCCCCAAATGGCGCAGGGACTCGGCGGAACGGCGAGTTTCGATTGCCCTCCTGGGCTTCTGATGGGGCATATGGCGCGCACTTCCCCCTTCTCTCTCTCCCCCTCCCGCTTTTCCCACACCGCCTTCGTCGCTCTCCTTTCCTTCCCCCCTCGCGCTACCGTCACTCTCCCTCCCGGATCCGCCGTACCAGACCGCGCGCGACCCACCCCTGCGAGCAGGGATGCTCGCGGGACTGGTGGGCGGAAGAAGCAGCGCGGAGGCATACATGGTTGCGGGGAAGGCTGAGACAGGAGGGCTGCGAGGGGAGCGCTGCGCGAGGAGGGGGGAACGGCTCGTATGCATGGAGGAACCCGCGAGAGGCGGATGAATCAAGGGAAAGACGAGGCCACGTGGCAGGGTAATGAGGTACGTTGGAGAAAGTGAAGGGTACATATCTCCGTTTAGGATGGATTTCGTCTAAGAGACTCGATTGAATTCTGTTGCTGCACAGTTGTTACATGGATGGAAGAAATACCGTATCATAATTGACTTACATTCCACGCACCAAATTTGATCTATTCCTATTTTCTATTTATGCAGCACCGTGATTTTATCGCGTATGATCCCAGTCAATGAAAATCACTGACTGAAAGCCATGGATATACCAGCAGCGTCAATTTCCAGTGGTGATAGTGGAACAGACGCTTATGGGCATAATTTTCATCTGTGAACAGAATCGCTGTTTTCCCGCGCACTGCTATTACGAGCGTGAGCCTCCTAGTCACGGCAAGCTAAGGTAATGCGAGCCATTCGCTTGCGCCGCCTCCTACCGCCTTGCTCCACGGATACCGGCGCCTCGCAGCAATGCACGAGATGCTTCCGTAAACCGACGACTTCATTACCGTCTCAACCCACCCGAAACCACCAAGAACCTTCCGCGACGGACACATTGCCGGCGAGAGGCACATTCCGAGCAGCAAGCACGTCGCGGAGTTACCACCCCGCAAGTAGATATCTGACCGCGATCCCGTCGCTCGCTCAAGCCGCGAGATCTCCGGCCGTTATCCCGTCGCACACACGCATAAGGGACATATTTTTTGAGTCGACTCAAGACCCGTCGCGCACACGTGCGGGAATTACGTCTTCTACGAGTGTCCGCGCATCCTCGCATATTTCCTTATCCTCCTCTTCACACGGATTTTCCAACGTCTTCGCCTACAGGTTCAGCTTCAGCCGCTCTGAACCGTTCATTGTCCATCCAAACCGCTATCATCCGACATTTCTTCCCGGGACTGCATTGCCAGCTGGTAGTTTGGGATTGGCCCGATTTCCTTATCGTGTCAGGTCACAGCGCAACCATAAGCGGCTCGCCGGCCAAATGGACGGCCAGCCGCAACGGCAAGAGCTCAGATCTGACGGCGAGCCTAGGGAGGAGGAGGTCAGAAACGGAGAGGCGAATGCGACGGCTTGCGAGATGGCAGATTCGTTACCTCAAGGCACAGAAGCGGAAGCGGGGCTACTTTTAGAGGGGATGGAGCCGAACGACGCTCATAACAGCAGCAGCTTCGGTCAGTACCGTTTCCTCTCTCTTATTCAATCGCCTTAACAGCTCCCCTGTTGTTCCTCCGTAGCAGTGCAAGCCTTTTATCCGAATCGTCCACCTGGGAATTGGTTTGTTACCCGTGCCACCGTTGATGAGTGTCCGTGTTCATGGAGTCATCTTAAAAGTCCCCTGTGTATTTATCCACTGCCTATTATGAGCACACTGTCCACCTGGCACCTTCCTTGTGTTCTCATTACACTACCGAGCAGGAGCAAGCAACGTGAAACCCCCAAAAGGTTCCATCGCTCAAGGCGCCCCCTTCCCGCTCTACCTTTCACCGTTTCAATCTCTCTCCCCCCCCCCAACCACCAACCAACGCCTCCGCATCCGCTCCTCATCCCAACCCCCCTCTCTCCCTCCTCTCCCTCCTCCTCGTCCGCCTATCCCGTGCCCTCACAACCCTATCTCGCCCCTCTTGTACCTCTTTGCCTCCTGGGCCTCATGCCTTTCTCGAGGCGCCTTAAATACACCCCCCCCCACCTTCCCCCCCCCTCTCTCTCCTCCGACCTCACCATCATCACCATCTCCCCCCTCATGTGCCAATTTGCTTCATAGGCCCATGCCTTCTACCTCCCCCAAGCCGCCTGGAAACCTGCCTTTCAACCCTCCTCTTTTGTCCTCTTTTCCTTTCCCCCCTCCCCCCTTTTCCCGTTTCCCACTCCCTCCCTTCTCCCCTACCACCAGGCACCGCCAATGGCTCGACCTCCCCTCCCCACCCCACCCCGCCTCCCCCTCTCCTCTCCCTCCTCTCCCTCCTCCTCCTCCGCCTATCCCGCGCCCTCACAACCCTCCCCACGCCCTCCGACCTGCGATTCACGCTGCTCACCATCATCGCCATCTCGCCTCTCATGGGCCTCTTCGCCTCCTGGGCTCACGCCTTCTACCTCCCCCAAGCCGGCTTCCCCATCCCCCTCATCCTCTTTGTATTCGTCTTCCCCTCCTTCTGGGAAGAGCTTTTCTGGAGGGTTCTCCTTAACCCTCATCCGGCCGAACCCCCGTCTACTCTCCCCTCCTGGCTTCACACTCGCATCACTTCCCTCCTCTCTCGCGCCTCCTCCCTCCTCGCTCCTTTTCTCTCCTCCATCCCGTTCCTGCGCGCTCTCTCGCTCCCTCGGGATTGGCCCGCGGATCCGAAAGTGTTTTATGGCATTGTTTCAACATCCTTATATGTCTTAGCGCATCCCTTTCTAGCGTGGTTAAACCGACCTGCTGCGTTAAGGTTATTTTCGCATCCGGGGTTTCTGCTCTGCTGTGTCGTGCTCGGGTCGGCGTGTCTTGTGGTGTACCGGAGATCTGGGTCGGCCTGGGCGGCAATCTTGGTGCACTGGATGGCGGTGTCTGTCTGGATGTGCTTGGGAGGGAGGCACCAGGCACCATTCTGAAACGTTACACAGACTGATTTATATCATTTGTACTGTTTCTTATAATGAAGAGACTTGTAATGATTGCTCCAGCGAAACACGTGGCATGTTTCGTAGTTACACATAATACCGGTACCGTAATACCCCGGATAGAAGCGCATCTGCGCTTATAATAAAACAGTGTTTTTTAGGGGGGTGCGCTTATAAATGAGTCAAAATTATAAGCGCATGCGCTTATATAATAACAAACACAGAAATATGTTATAAACGCACCAAACTGTGCATTTCATTCAAATCGAAATGTGTGGAGCGTTCTGAATCAGAATCTCGCGAGGGCGATTCTCTGCTGGCGCACAAGGGCAAGGACACGTCACTTCCGCATAGGAATGTGTCATGCTCGCCCCATCAGAGTGTACGAACCAATAGCTTGCAGTCGCTCGTTCGCATCGCACAGGCTTGCCCCAGTATACGACCAGTAGCCTGCAGTCGCTCGCTCGCAGCGCACAGACAACAGGTGTTCCCGAGCCCCCCTGTCAGGTCTGTTGGGCTGAGATAGCCCCTTAGGATCTTTGCAAGGGATAACTCTAGGTGAAGTAGTTGTAATAGCGGAAGCGTTTAGTGAAGAATTTGAACCGACCTTGCACTGGTGTGTGAGAGCAAAGTTGATTGAATTAAACAAGCAAATACAAGGATTTATATAAGAGTACAGGGAATAGATAGATAACTGTATTGCTGTTGCGGTTCGATATAGCGCGACTCGGGCAACTGCTCTGTAACGAGTCAGTTGTGTGTCCTTAACTGTCGCGCTGTAATTGTCGAGTCAAAGGTCAGCGACCTTTGACTTTCTCGTAACCTCCAGGCGGTTACCCTAACCTCCGAGGTTGACTCGATGCTTCGATTGGGACTGCTTCGCTTGGTACCTTGGATTTTGATACGACAGAAGCGCACTTAGGACTTATTGTTTCCAACACTCCCCTTCGCTTCTGGAGTGTTACTGCTGGTGACGTGGCCTTGTCCAGTCAGCATCATGCAGTATTCGAACTTCTGCTTGCCGAGTTTCTTGGTCAAGTAATCGGCTGCCATCTCGGATGTTGGACAGTATGACAGATCGAGTTTCCCTTTTTCTATCTCGTCCTTCGCGAAGAAATAGCGCAGGGCGATGTGTTTCGTCCTGTTTGCGAAGCCGTTTTTGTTGGCGATGCGAATTGCTGACTGGTTGTCGCAGAACACGGTGAAGCTGGGTAACTCGGCTAGCTTCGCTTCTTCCAGTAGTTCGCGAAGGTAAAGTCCCTCCTTGGTGGCTGAGCAGAGTGCAATATATTCTGCTTCTGCTGAAGATAGTGCGATTAACTCCTGCTTGCTCGACTGCCAGGAGATAGGACCGATAGGCTCAAGGCGGTAGACATAGCCGGTGCGTGAGCGCCTGTTGTCGGTGTCGCCGGCGTGATCGGCGTCGACGTAGCCGATTAGCTTAGTCGGTGTAGCTGCGCTCTTGTGGTAGGTTAGCCCGATCGTCGCGGTGCTGACGAAGTAGTGGAGAGCGCGATCAAGTTCCGCCAGGTGTTCAGCTTCAGGCTTCTTGAGATAGGTGGCGAGCTGACTTGCGGAGTAGGATAAGTCAGGACGGCAGGTGACGGCGGCGAATAGCAGGCATCCGAGCTTCTTCTGATAGTCGCGTATGCCGGCGGGCTTTAGTAGAGTAGTTCGTTCCTTCTCGGTTCCTGATGTGTAGCGGTAGGGCGTGGAGATGGCGCTTGGTGTGAGGCTGAAGCGTTTCGCGATGGTGTCGGCGTATTTCTCGGCGCTTAGATAGATGGCGTTTTCTTCTTCGCGGATGTTGAGCCCGAGGTACTGTGTAACGGTGGAGGAGACCGTGAGCGTGAGGTCTTTCTGGAGCTCTCCTTCGAACCACGTGGCGATGCCGTCGGTTGACCCAATGTAGAGGAGATCGTCCACGTAGACGATCAGGAGAACGTAGTCGCTTCCCTTAGTGAGGCGGTACATGCCTTGGTCGTGAGGTAGTTGACTAAAGCCGATGCGGATGAGACGGGCGTGCAGGTACTGCTGCCACAGTCGCGGTGCCTGCTTGATCCCGTAGAGCGATTTAAGTAGTTGACAGATTCGGTTGGGTTCGCCGTGGGAACCGTGCGGGAGCTCGACGTAGATTTCTGCATCCACAGGTGCGTAGAGGAAGGCATTCGCGACGTCGATCTGCCGTAACTTCTTCTTCTTCATGGCGGCAATGGCGAGGAGAATTCGGAGTGACGTGTGGCGGCTGACTGGAGCAAAGGTCTCGGTGAAGTCTCGTCCTTGCTCTTGGTCGAATCCACGTACGACCCAGCGTGCTTTGAATTTTTCGATCGTGCCGTCTGCTTTCGTCTTGATGCGGAAGACCCATTTCCCGGTAAGGATGGTTTTGTTCCGTGCCACGCTTACGGGAACAACCTTCCAAGTGTTGCGTTCCTCTAATGCCTTCAGTTCTCTATCCATGGCTTCACGCCATTTCTCCCTGTGTTCCCCCCCCAGAGCCTGCTGAACCGTTGCAGGCTCCTTAGGAAGCGAGCTGCGTGTGTTCCCGTGGACTGCGGTGACGAGGCCGAGGATTTGCAGCCCAGTCTGTGAGTATCGAGGGAGTTCTGGATCCTCGGGATAAGCTGCTTCGTCTCCCGTTTCTGGGTCGGGCATGAAATTTGGCCCTACCCTTTCTGCTTCGTTGGTGTTGACTGTCACAGGTGTTACGTAACCATCGTCGGCGAAACGGTAGAAGATTTCGGCGTTGTTACTGTCGCGAGGATTATCCTCATCCATGGGCACGTCGACGGAGCAGTATGGGAGAGGTCCGGCTTCTTCTGAGGCGTTGTCGACGTTCTGTTCATCCCAGTCTGCTTCGTCCGCTGCTGACGCGAAGGCTCGGTCACCACGAAAACCACTGGTGAGGTCCCGATTCTCGTGCAAGTTGGCGAGGTACGTCTGAAGGGTGAGTCTTTCGTAGAAGATCACGTCACGTGCTGCTACTGTTTCCTTTGTGTGGACGTCGAAGATTTTCCATGCGTTGTAATTTTTCTCGATGCCGAGGTGTAGTCCCCACTGTGCCCGTTGCGAAAATCTTCCCGCTCGTGCTTCTGGGGGTCTGTACTGTACCATGCACCCGAAAACTCGTAACATTTTCGTGCTGCCCTGCTTCCCTGTCCACAGCAGATGCGGTGATGCGTTGTTCGGGAGTGACGACGACGACAACAAGTTGTGTAGCATGACAGCGTGGTCCATTGCTGCTGGCCACTGGTGGTTGGGTAGCCGCATGCCACGTAATAGTTTGCGCATGCTGTTCTGCAGGGTCCTGTTCAGTCGTTCTGCAACACCTTGCTGCTGATGTGCGTAGGGAAGGGAGAGGAGTTGCTTGATCCCCCTTTCCGCCAAGAACTGCTTGAAGCGGTGAGAGGTGTACTCGCCACCTCCGTCTGACTGGAAATTTTTCAGTTGTGTTCCAGACTCTCTCTCTGCTATCGGTAGCCAGGCGGCGAATGCTGCGAGCGCCATGTCGCGGCTGGGTAGGTTGCGATGCCAGACGTATCGAGTGGCGGCGTCGATGAAGGTGATGGTGTAGTTGTAGTTGACTTGTCCTGGCTCGCGATTGTAGAGGATGTCGCTGTAGACTTTTTCGAGTGGTGCGTACGCTGGAGCGCTCGGGTTGTGATGTGAAGCAAACGGTCGATGAGGTAAGTCAGCTTCGGGACATATAAGGCAAGTCCCTCGTGCCTTCTGGAGTTCTCTGCCATCGGGTAGAAGTAGAGAATCTTTGTCAAGGACTCCTGCTCTTATCGTGTTATTCAAAACCGTGTTGCTTGGATGTCCTGTTCGTGCGTGCCAGATCTCTTCAGAGGCGCGGTGTCCAGGTGAACGCTGATATGCGTCGGAGTTGGAGTAAAAGCTGGCGACGAGGTTGGCGCTTCGGTGGACTTCACGTTGAGTCGGATTCAGCTGTTTCGCGGGTGTTGGTGGTGCTTCGTCGACTGTGACTGGTGTCGTTGTTCCTGCTGCTGCTGATGTTGTTGCTGCTGCCGATGTTGTTGCTGCTGCCGATGTTGTTACTGCTGCTGATGTTGTTGAATTGTTGCTAATGCTCGTGTTCGTTCTGCTTCAGGAATGGTGTGCGAGTACCAGAAGCCTCCTGGGCTGAACTCGGGGTCGAGATCCGGAGGGTGTGTCCAGTCAGTGAAATTCACGATGGCGTCGCTGTCTGCAGTGCCCAGGTCAGGAACGAAGTCGAGGACGAAGACGTTGTTCTTCAGCACTGCTTTCCCGATGTAGAGACCGCCTCTCCCGTGGTAAAGTTTGAACTCCTGGGTCGTGCTGTCGGCTTCCAGATGAATTCCTTTCGCCATCAACTGGCTAACGCTCAGTAAGTTGTAGCCGAGTCCTTCAGCGATGAGTACCTTAGACATGTGCAGTATGACATTTGTTTCTCTTGACTGAAGCTGTACCACTCCTTGTCTTCGTGTGCGCAGGTTTTGGTTGTTGGCAACCGTGATGATCACTTCCCGTTGGAGTCGATGTTCGCGTTGTACGAAACGCCCGGACGAGCACATGTGTTGCCCGCAGCAACTGTCCAAGAACCAGGTGTCTTGGCCGGACGGTTCACTTTGAGCGATGGCGGCGTACGTTGGATTCGGCTGGAGTAGCTCACGGCGAGGCGTTCTGTTGTCAAGCTCTTCTTCCGGTGAGTAGTGTGGTGGTGATTCGGTTGTACATGAATCGGTTATCTTCGTCATGCAGTTGATTATATTTCTTGCTCCTTGTGCAGGTTGTCCGGGTGAAGTCGTTGAAGCTTGAATAGTGGTCGTCGCACTTGCTTGTGTTGAGGCCATTTGGGAGCTTGAAGGTCGAAGTTGTCGCTGTGGTGCCGTTGATTGCTGACGATTCGGGCAGTGTGTGCGCGGGTGCCCTGAAGTCTTGCAGATGTGGCAGAAGGGAGGTACTATCTTCGGTTGCTGCTGTCGGTTGTTATAATTGCTGTGTCGTCGTTGAGTGTGGAATGCGAACTCTGATACTGTCGTTTTCTTCCTGTGTCGTTCTTCCTGCAGGTCCATATCTTGCTGCTCGGCATGTATTTCGGCGCAGAGTGCAGCTTCAGAGATTCTTCCGTGGGCTCGAAGAATGGCTTTGGTGGCGCGCCACTGAGGACCAAGCCCACCAATGATGACTGTCACGAAGGCGTCTTCAGAGATTGACCCTCCGCATCGAAGCAGCTTGTCGCGCAGTTCGCGACATCGGCTGATATACGCCAGTCCTTTTTCTCCTGGTTTCATTTCGACTGTCGTCAACTGCGCCATTAACCTGCTCTGGTTTACACTGTCTGTTGCTTGATACAGGTTCTTCAGATGGCTGTACGCGAGCTCCGCCGAGTTGCCGAAGGTCCGGTAAGAGCGAATGTTCTGCTGCTGAGTTGGTGTCACGTTCCTTAATAGGATTGTATACGCCATCATTGATTGATACGTATACTGCTGCTTTTCATATTGTGTCCCGTTGGCTGGATACTGCAGGGACCCGTCGAAGAAGCCGAGTATCTGCGCGCCCTCCATCATCAGCTCGAATTCAAAGGACCAGGTAAAGAAGTCTTTGCCGTCGAAGGGTCTTGACGTTTGCAGTTTTAAGACGTGTGCAAACTGCGACTGAACTTGAAGTGCGTCCAGTGGTCTTTCTTGTCCAGGTGAAGGTTGCGGGTGGGGCACGAAGCTGATTGACCCGCGCTCGTACGGAGCAAAGGTAGGTTGCTGCTGCTGGTTTCCTCGCGCATATGACGACCCATCAAGACTCATGGGTGTCGCTCCGTTGTTGCTGTTGTGTGTTTGTGCAGGTCCCGACTGCTGGTGTTGTTCGTAGAAGGACATGAAGGAGAAAAATTTCTCCATCATGTTCTGGTCAAAGTCCGAAGGGTGGTTCATGGGGGTCTCGGTTGACGTTCCTCTTGGTCTTGTTGCCGTGCCTTCTTCTGTCTGCAGGCCAGAGGCTGGCGGTGGAGTAGGAGTAGTGCCCGAGGAGCCATTAGGGGAGCTCCTTTCCTTGTTTGTTGCCATGTCTTGTAATGATATTAAAAAAGAGTAGAGTTTCCCTTGTCAGCTCTCATACCATGTTGGGCTGAGATAGCCCCTTAGGATCTTTGCAAGGGATAACTCTAGGTGAAGTAGTTGTAATAGCGGAAGCGTTTAGTGAAGAATTTGAACCGACCTTGCACTGGTGTGTGAGAGCAAAGTTGATTGAATTAAACAAGCAAATACAAGGATTTATATAAGAGTACAGGGAATAGATAGATAACTGTATTGCTGTTGCGGTTCGATATAGCGCGACTCGGGCAACTGCTCTGTAACGAGTCAGTTGTGTGTCCTTAACTGTCGCGCTGTAATTGTCGAGTCAAAGGTCAGCGACCTTTGACTTTCTCGTAACCTCCAGGCGGTTACCCTAACCTCCGAGGTTGACTCGATGCTTCGATTGGGACTGCTTCGCTTGGTACCTTGGATTTTGATACGACAGAAGCGCACTTAGGACTTATTGTTTCCAACAAGGTCAACTTCGCGCTGTTGCGCTTTTCCTGAGCGAGCCCGCCCTCGAGGGAGTCAAACAGAGTAGAAGTGGATGTGGACTCGCTTCAAAACGGGAAGTCGTTACTGTTTTAATCCGTTTTTTTGAAATATGTTTATACATGCGCTTATAATAAATCAGGGTTTTATAAGGGGTGCGCTTATAATTGAGGATCGGCCATAAGCGCATTGCTCCAGATACAAGCGCATGCGCTTAACATAGGCCTGCGCTTCTATCCGGGGCCATACGGTACCGTGCAAGCGTGGGTATGATAAGGTACTCCAGAAAGATACGATACCCGTATCAAACTTCAAAACACTGATCTCCCCTCAACCACCTCCCCTCATTTGCCTTTCTTGGCCTTCTCACCCCCCTCCCGCTCTCTTCGCTCCTCCCGAATCTTCCTCTTCTGCTCCGCCCTCTGCTTGGCCCGCTCCTCAAACCCGCTCTCTGACACCTTCAGCAGAGCCGCCCTCCGTGCCTTGAACACCTGGGGAAAACAAGACAAGACAAAAATGGCAATAACGCGAAAGTAAAATAAGAAAATAGGAAAAACAAACGTTTACACCAGCACCACTGTACAAGCTTTCCATGCAACAGCGGCACCAGCAAGAGAAAGGCAGGCGAGCAGGCACGCACTAACAGAGAATCGACACAACAATAGCCATCTCCCCTTGCTCACGCTGTCACACTTTCTTTCACTCACCTTGCTGATGCATTTAAGCACATCGCCTTCAGTCACATCAGTGCACTCCGCCAGCTGTCGACCAATAAGCTTCTCGATGCTGTGCACCAGATGCACGTCGTACTGCCATGGGAAAGGGAGGAGCGGGAAAGGGGGAGGCAGCATGCATGAAGTGAAGGGAAGGGGCATGGGACACAAAAGAGGCCGATGAGATTCTCGATGCTGTGCACCAGATGCACGTCGTACTGCCACAAGGATGAGAGAGAGGGAGGGACGGGCAGACGGAGGGAAGGAGGGATTCGAAAACGAGAAGTGGTAAAAAAGCAGACACGGTTCAAACGGCCTAATGCTTCTTTTGTGGTTGCTGTCGGCCCAACTACCACTTGCAGCTCAATTGTTGCGCACAACAGCAGTCACACTCATCTAAGTCGCCGCTCCCACCCAGAAAATACTAACAGCACCCTTGCCATTCGTTATAGTCACACCCACCTGAGTCACCAGGCTGATGGCTCGTCCGCCCCTCCCTGCTCGGGCTGTTCGTCCCACCCGGTGCACATAGTCCCGCGTGAACCTGGAGATGGGGTGGGTTGGTTGGTGGGGTGACAGGGTAGCGGGAGAGGGGTACAGGGTTTCTTTTGGCATCTCCCGAGTCCGCCCCTCCCTGCTCGGGCTGTTCGCCCCACCCTGTGCACACAGTCCCGCGTGAACCTGGAGATGGGCAGATACGATAGGGTGGGGGGTGCAGAGTGTTTTCAGGGACCCTAAAAAGGCACTCCCTGCTCGGGCTGTTCGCCCCACCCTGTGCACATAGTCCCGCGTGAACCTGGAGATGGGGTGGGGGGGACGTGGGACAGGGTAGGGAATGACCGGGTAGGAGCAGAGAGGATAGGTTGGGGGATAGGGAGTTTCGTGAAGCAGCGCATGAAGACCCTGTGATGTCTCGTGGGCTGTTCACCCCACCCTGTGTACATAGACTGGAGTGAGCCCGCGGGTTGTGTTACACCAACCCCCGGGGGTTGTGTTACAGGGTATTGAATGACCATGTTGGATTGGAGAGGAGATTGACAGACCAAGGCAACTCGGACCAGCACAGTGCTCACCTGGGGATGTCGTAGTTTATCACTAAATCCACTGTCGGAATGTCCAGATGAACAGTGGGAATGTTCAGATCAACAGTGGGAATGTCCAGATCAACAGTGGGAATGTCCAGATCAACAGTGGGAATGTCCAGATCAACAGTGGGAATGTCCAGATCAACAGTGGGAATGTCCAGATCAACAGTGGGAATGTCCAGATCAACAGTGGGAATGTCCAGATCAACAGTGGGAATGTCCAGATCAACAGTGGGAATGTCCAGATCAACAGTGGGAATGTCCAGATCAACAGTGGGAATGTCCAGATCAACAGTGGGAATGTCCAGATCAACAGTGGGAATGTCCAGATCAACAGTGGGAATGTCCAGATCAACAGTGGGAATGTCCAGATCAACAGTGGGAATGTCCAGATCAACAGTGGGAATGTCCAGATCAACAGTGGGAATGTCAGATCAACAGTGGGAATGTCCAGATCAACAGTGGGAATGTCCAGATCAACAGTGGGAATGTCCAGATCAACAGTGGGAATGTCCAGATCAACAGTGGGAATGTCCAGATCAACAGTGGGAATGTCCAGATCAACAGTGGGAATGTCCAGATCAACAGTGGGAATGTCCAGATCAACAGTGGGAATGTCCAGATCAACAGTGGGAATGTCCAGATCAACAGTGGGAATGTCCAGATCAACAGTGGGAATGTCCAGCCCTCTGCTGGCGACGTCTGTGGCCACCACGATACTGTGATAATACACCAGCAGTGCGCCCATTTTCTCACCTCGGGATGTCGTAGTTGATCACTAAATCCACTGTCGGAATGTCCAGCCCTCTGCTGGCGACGTCTGTGGCCACCAGGATGGGCACTTGGGACGCCTTGAAGCGGTGCATTTCAGAAGCCTCAGAAGCAGGTCGAGTGGCCACCTGAAACCTGGCTAGTGAACGCACCTGGGGATGTCGTAGTTGATCACCAGGTCGACAGTGGGGATATCCAGCCCTCTGCTGGCGACGTCTGTGGCCACCAGGATGGGCACTTGGGACGCCTTGAAGCTGTGCAGAGCGGCTGAGCGCTTGCGCTGGGGCAGCAGGGCGTGGAGAGGCGCGTTGGAGAGACCCACTTCGTCCAGTAATGCACTCACGGCCTGGCATGACCTGACACACAGTGGTTGGGTGGGAGGACATGGAGGGCACTTGAGATGCTTTGCAAGGGTGTAGAGCGGCCGGGCGCTTGCCCTGGGAGAGGAGGGCGTGGAGAGGCGCGTTGGAGAGACCAACTTCGTCCAGCAGTGCACTCACGGCCTGGCAGAATCTGGGAGGGGTAAGGGGAAAAGGGAGAGGGGGTTACGGGACAAATGGGGTAGCAGCGCATGGAGAGGCGCGTTGGAAAGACCCACTTCGTCCAGCAGTGCACTGACAGCCTGACAGGCTGACACATGTTGAGTGGGTGAGTGAAGGAGAGAAGAGGTAGAAGCAGAGTGTTGAGGGGCCTTGAAGCAGTGCAGGGCAGACAAGCGCTTGCGTTGAGGGAGCAGGGCGTGGAGAGGCGTGTGAGACAGACCTGCCTCAAGGCGTGTGAGACAGACCTGCCTCATCTAATGACACAACAAGGTGGCACTCGAGGCCTGCTTCATCTAATGACACAACAAGGTGGCACTCGAGGCCTGCTTCATCTAATGGCACAACAAGGTGGCACTCGAGGCCTGCTTCATCTAATGACACAACAAGGTGGCACTCGAGGCCTGCTTCATCTAATGACACAACAAGGTGGCACTCGAGGCCTGCTTCATCTAATGACACAACAAGGTGGCACTCGAGGCCTGCTTCATCTAATGGCACAACAAGGTGGCACTCGAGGCCTGCTTCATCTAATGACACAACAAGGTGGCACTCGAGGCCTGCTTCATCTAATGGCACAACAAGGTGGCACTCGAGGCCTGCTTCATCTAATGACACAACAAGGTGGCACTCGAGGCCTGCTTCATCTAATGGCACAACAAGGTGGCACTCGAGGCCTGCTTCATCTAATGACACAACAAGGTGGCACTCGAGGCCTGCTTCATCTAATGGCACTTCGAGACCTGCTTCATCTAATGGCGCTTCGAGACCTGCTTCATCTAATGGCACTTCGAGACCTGCTTCATCTAATGGCACTTGGAGGCCTGCTTCATCTAATGGCACTTGGAGGCCTGCTTCATCTAATGGCACTTGGAGGCCTGCTTCATCTAATGGCACTTGGAGGCCTGCTTCATCTAATGGCACTTGGAGGCCTGCTTCATCTAATGGCACTTGGAGGCCTGCTTCATCTAATGGCACTTGGAGGCCTGCTTCATCTAATGGCACTTCGAGACCTGCTTCATCTAATGGCACTTCGAGACCTGCTTCATCTAATGACACAACAAGGTGGCACTCGAGGCCTGCTTCATCTAATGACACAACAAGGTGGCACTCGAGGCCTGCTTCATCTAATGACACAACAAGGTGGCACTCGAGGCCTGCTTCATCTAATGACACAACAAGGTGGCACTCGAGGCCTGCTTCATCTAATGACACAACAAGGTGGCACTCGAGGCCTGCTTCATCTAATGGCACAACAAGGTGGCACTCGAGGCCTGCTTCATCTAATGACACAACAAGGTGGCACTCGAGGCCTGCTTCATCTAATGGCACAACAAGGTGGCACTCGAGGCCTGCTTCATCTAATGACACAACAAGGTGGCACTCGAGGCCTGCTTCATCTAATGGCACAACAAGGTGGCACTCGAGGCCTGCTTCATCTAATGACACAACAAGGTGGCACTCGAGGCCTGCTTCATCTAATGACACAACAAGGTGGCACTCGAGGCCTGCTTCATCTAATGACACAACAAGGTGGCACTCGAGGCCTGCTTCATCTAATGGCACAACAAGGTGGCACTCGAGGCCTGCTTCATCTAATGACACAACAAGGTGGCACTCGAGGCCTGCTTCATCTAATGGCACAACAAGGTGGCACTCGAGGCCTGCTTCATCTAATGACACAACAAGGTGGCACTCGAGGCCTGCTTCATCTAATGGCACAACAAGGTGGCACTCGAGGCCTGCTTCATCTAATGACACAACAAGGTGGCACTCGAGGCCTGCTTCATCTAATGGCACTTCGAGACCTGCTTCATCTAATGGCACTTCGAGACCTGCTTCATCTAATGGCACTTCGAGACCTGCTTCATCTAATGGCACTTGGAGGCCTGCTTCATCTAATGGCACTTGGAGGCCTGCTTCATCTAATGGCACTTGGAGGCCTGCTTCATCTAATGGCACTTGGAGGCCTGCTTCATCTAATGGCACTTGGAGGCCTGCTTCATCTAATGGCACTTGGAGGCCTGCTTCATCTAATGGCACTTGGAGGCCTGCTTCATCTAATGGCACTTCGAGACCTGCTTCATCTAATGGCACTTCGAGACCTGCTTCATCTAATGACACAACAAGGTGGCACTCGAGGCCTGCTTCATCTAATGACACAACAAGGTGGCACTCGAGGCCTGCTTCATCTAATGACACAACAAGGTGGCACTCGAGGCCTGCTTCATCTAATGGCACAACAAGGTGGCACTCGAGGCCTGCTTCATCTAATGACACAACAAGGTGGCACTCGAGGCCTGCTTCATCTAATGGCACAACAAGGAGGCATTCGAGGCCTGCTTCATCTAATGGCACAACAAGGTGGCACTCGAGGCCTGCTTCATCTAATGACACAACAAGGTGGCACTCGAGGCCTGCTTCATCTAATGACACAACAAGGTGGCACTCGAGGCCTGCTTCATCTAATGGCACAACAAGGTGGCACTCGAGGCCTGCTTCATCTAATGACACAACAAGGTGGCACTCGAGGCCTGCTTCATCTAATGGCACAACAAGGTGGCACTCGAGGCCTGCTTCATCTAATGACACAACAAGGTGGCACTCGAGGCCTGCTTCATCTAATGGCACTTCGAGACCTGCTTCATCTAATGGCACTTCGAGACCTGCTTCATCTAATGGCACTTCGAGACCTGCTTCATCTAATGGCACTTGGAGGCCTGCTTCATCTAATGGCACTTGGAGGCCTGCTTCATCTAATGGCACTTGGAGGCCTGCTTCATCTAATGGCACTTGGAGGCCTGCTTCATCTAATGGCACTTGGAGGCCTGCTTCATCTAATGGCACTTGGAGGCCTGCTTCATCTAATGGCACTTGGAGGCCTGCTTCATCTAATGGCACTTCGAGACCTGCTTCATCTAATGGCACTTCGAGACCTGCTTCATCTAATGGCACTTCGAGACCTGCTTCATCTAATGGCACTTCGAGGCCTGCTTCATCTAATGGCACTTCGAGACCTGCTTCATCTAATGGCACTTCGAGGCCTGCTTCATCTAATGGCACTTCGAGGCCTGCTTCATCTAATGGCACTTCGAGACCTGCTTCATCTAATGGCACTTCGAGGCCTGCTTCATCTAATGGCACTTCGAGGCCTGCTTCATCTAATGGCACTTCGAGACCTGCTTCATCTAATGGCACTTCGAGACCTGCTTCATCTAATGGCACTTCGAGACCTGCTTCATCTAATGGCACTTCGAGACCTGCTTCATCTAATGACACAACAAGGTGGCACTCGAGGCCTGCTTCATCTAATGACACAACAAGGTGGCACTCGAGGCCTGCTTCATCTAATGGCACAACAAGGTGGCACTCGAGGCCTGCTTCATCTAATGACACAACAAGGTGGCACTCGAGGCCTGCTTCATCTAATGGCACAACAAGGAGGCATTCGAGGCCTGCTTCATCTAATGGCACAACAAGGTGGCACTCGAGGCCTGCTTCATCTAATGACACAACAAGGTGGCACTCGAGGCCTGCTTCATCTAATGACACAACAAGGTGGCACTCGAGGCCTGCTTCATCTAATGGCACAACAAGGTGGCACTCGAGGCCTGCTTCATCTAATGACACAACAAGGTGGCACTCGAGGCCTGCTTCATCTAATGGCACAACAAGGTGGCACTCGAGGCCTGCTTCATCTAATGACACAACAAGGTGGCACTCGAGGCCTGCTTCATCTAATGGCACTTCGAGACCTGCTTCATCTAATGGCACTTCGAGACCTGCTTCATCTTATGGCACTTCGAGACCTGCTTCATCTAATGGCACTTCGAGACCTGCTTCATCTAATGGCACTTGGAGGCCTGCTTCATCTAATGGCACTTCGAGGCCTGCTTCATCTAATGGCACTTCGAGGCCTGCTTCATCTAATGGCACTTCGAGGCCTGCTTCATCTAATGGCACTTCGAGGCCTGCTTCATCTAATGGCACTTCGAGGCCTGCTTCATCTAATGGCACTTCGAGACCTGCTTCATCTAATGGCACTTCGAGGCCTGCTTCATCTAATGGCACTTCGAGGCCTGCTTCATCTAATGGCACTTCGAGACCTGCTTCATCTAATGGCACTTCGAGGCCTGCTTCATCTAATGGCACTTCGAGGCCTGCTTCATCTAATGGCACTTCGAGACCTGCTTCATCTAATGGCACTTCGAGACCTGCTTCATCTAATGGCACTTCCAGACCTGCTTCATCTAATGGCACTTCGAGACCTGCTTCATCTAATGACACAACAAGGTGGCACTCGAGGCCTGCTTCATCTAATGACACAACAAGGTGGCACTCGAGGCCTGCTTCATCTAATGACACAACAAGGTGGCACTCGAGGCCTGCTTCATCTAATGGCACAACAAGGTGGCACTCGAGGCCTGCTTCATCTAATGACACAACAAGGTGGCACTCGAGGCCTGCTTCATCTAATGGCACAACAAGGAGGCATTCGAGGCCTGCTTCATCTAATGGCACAACAAGGTGGCACTCGAGGCCTGCTTCATCTAATGACACAACAAGGTGGCACTCGAGGCCTGCTTCATCTAATGACACAACAAGGTGGCACTCGAGGCCTGCTTCATCTAATGGCACAACAAGGTGGCACTCGAGGCCTGCTTCATCTAATGACACAACAAGGTGGCACTCGAGGCCTGCTTCATCTAATGGCACAACAAGGTGGCACTCGAGGCCTGCTTCATCTAATGACACAACAAGGTGGCACTCGAGGCCTGCTTCATCTAATGGCACTTCGAGACCTGCTTCATCTAATGGCACTTTGAGACCTGCTTCATCTAATGGCACTTCGAGACCTGCTTCATCTAATGGCACTTGGAGGCCTGCTTCATCTAATGGCACTTGGAGGCCTGCTTCATGTAATGGCACTTGGAGGCCTGCTTCATCTAATGGCACTTGGAGGCCTGCTTCATCTAATGGCACTTGGAGGCCTGCTTCATCTAATGGCACTTGGAGGCCTGCTTCATCTAATGGCACTTGGAGGCCTGCTTCATCTAATGGCACTTCGAGACCTGCTTCATCTAATGGCACTTCGAGACCTGCTTCATCTAATGGCACTTCGAGACCTGCTTCATCTAATGGCACTTCGAGACCTGCTTCATCTAATGGCACTTGGAGGCCTGCTTCATCTAATGGCACTTCGAGGCCTGCTTCATCTAATGGCACTTCGAGGCCTGCTTCATCTAATGGCACTTCG